TTATGCTTCTCATTGTTTCAGTGTTTGTGTGTAACACTGAAGAGGGTTAAACATGACATTTGAAGCTGATCCTTTGTCATAAAACTGGATCAATCGGGTTGAATGATTTTGGCAGCTAATTGCTCTGCAGTAGATAGAAAAAGTTGTGAAATATTCTTCAAAAGGTATTTTCAAAACCATTAAGCATTGACCTAACACTGCTTCAACTGAAGATAATAGATGTTGCAGAGAATAGTTGTACCATCCCAGATTGGTTAGGCTGAGTGGTTGGGCTGAAGAGAAGCCCACAGGAGAATTAATCACTTAAATTTCAGAAAAGCAGGGGTGGGGTTTTAGTCACAAGAGAAATTTTGTGTTAAGGTCCCAGTGGCTGAATTGTAAATACATTCTTGACAGAAGTATATGAAAGCATTGTTGAATAGATCAAAAGGAATGTGTCTTGACCTGGGAAGTAGTTTTTCCTAGACATGAATAAATGAGTTATAGGAAAAATGAGATGTCCTAAAATAATTGCAGAAATCTCTGGGATAGCACACGGTAGGGACCAACCAAGCCAAAAAATGGCCTTTTTTTTTTTTTTTTTTTTTTTTCCCCACAGTTAAACGTTACTTTGAGTTTGAGGTAATTTTTACTTTTTGTATTTGATTGGGCCTATTAGGGAATATGGACTGCAGTATGGCAACAATTGAATTTTGGACAGTTAAATTCAATATGTATTTTATACTAATATTCTGAACGGCTACTTTGAATGCCTCATTGCCTAAGGCCAGGGAAGGTTTTCTAAGAGTTTTCTTGAAAGAAAAGTTAGATTTTAGACTGAGGGAGTGTGTGAGCTTGTAGATTTTGGAGAAGGGGGGATTATGACGCAACCTATCTTGTGCAATAATAATTCTAAATTTTTTTTGTATGATCAGTGGTCTAAGAAACCTTATGCTTTGAACCTTCATTTACCTCCTTGTCTGGAGTTAAAGAAAAATCTTTATATATGAGTGAGGGAAAATCTGGAATTCATACCAATGTTTGCTACCTAATAAACTGAAAATCTATAAAAATTAGACAGTCCATGTAAGGTGAAACACTCATATAAAAAAATGTGATTCTTCTCCTGAGCAAAAAAATATAATCTTCTAGAGCAATTATAAATTTTCAGATCAGTTGATATTTCTACCTGTGACAGTAACCAGGCTGACCTCTCGTCCCTCCTACATCCTTCAGGCAACTAACTAGCAAGTCTATTTTCAACTGAAACTTTTCAGTTCTACACTCAAATGCAGCCCACTGGCTTTTATTGCAGTAATTTTGACTTAAAGTCAGAACATGGAACAATGAATATTGCTTAAATTATTTATTTAGGACAAAAGCAAATAGATAAAACAAGCTTTATACCAAGAGAACAGCAAGAAGCAGTTGACCAAGTATGCCATCATATTTGTACAAACCTAATATGTCTAAAGTGGATAGACGTCTCCTGTAATATCTCATGTCATTTTCCTTGTCGTATAAACAATTTCTGCCTCAATGAAACAGAGGAAAGCTCGTCAGATGTTGTCTTTTTGCTCATCCAAACTCTTCATTTTTTGAGCAAAGATTGTAATATCATTGTCATCAATCTATGGAGCTTTCCAGTGCGGGCCTACGGATTGTCATCTACAAGCCACTATTACCTCTGTAGCATAGGAGCTTAATGACACCGGTTTTAACCAACATACTGGTTTCTTAATTTGGATGAATATGTTTGCAATATATTCATTATGTTAAAGAAAATGTGGAATTTGAAAAGTGCTAACTCTACAATATGTTCAATTAGCAATTTTTTAAAAATTTGCACAGGCCAGTAAAAGATCTATGTAAATCTTAAGTTGTTATATAGATTACTGATACTGGCATGTTTTAAGAAGATGCATGCAGTAAAAGAGTTGAAGTGGTTTATTATTGATAACAAAGCAAATGGGAGCAGAACGTTTAATTTTATTAGGAATAGATTGTTAAGAGAACATCAAGAGAGCAGCAGTACTACAGTGTTCCAGGCATTTTTGTACTTCTTCTTCCCAATCAGAAGTTTGGGAAGAAGAGAATACCTGTATGTTACAAGAGCAGAGAGTCCTACCAAACTCTGTCATGTATCTCTTTTCCTCTTAGTGAATTAGAATGTAGAAAAATTTCTAACCCAGTTAGTTATCTGACATTTTTTGCTATTTTAACCTGATGACTTTTTTATTTTTGCATCTGGAGACAATGGAACATAGTGGAGATGAGAACTGATTCAGTTCACTGAAGACAGTTGTGGCAGAGGACTTGGAATTACCCAAATAATCATTCCTTCTTCAAATATTCTTTCACACTTCAGTCTCTCTTTTTCAAAACAAAAGGTCAAACAAAATTTAGAAATTGAGGATTAATAAGCAAAATAGTGATACTGTATTATTTTCTAAAGTCTGTAAATTAGGAAACATCTATCTGATCTTGCTTGAGGTTTCAACAGCAGCACTAGATATTTGTTGGATCATAAGTAACTCAGAAACAAAACAAACAAACAAACAAAAAACCCAACACTTTTTCCTGGAAATGTGAGTTCTTTTTTAAAAAAATATTATTTTATTTTGAGCATAACATTATCGTGTTTGATTGTTTGTTTGTTTGGTTTTTATCTGTCATCAGTTACCAAATTACCTAGCTTTAATTTTTCTTTAAAATATTTCCCAAAATCTCCTTCATAACATAGTAACAGGCAACTTGTACAAATGATAATTTCAGTAAAAGTTATCAGTTTATATTCATCTCTCTTTCTAGTTTTTCTAGTACTGATTTCTAATCACTGTGTATTTTAAGGCTTTTTCTGTGATGAAAATTCATTTCTATGCTCTGAGTTTAGCTACAGAGTTTTTTCTTTTTCATATTCTCACCTCTCTGAGCTCTCACATGCATAAATTAGTCTTCTGTAACTCTTATGAACAAATAAACTGCTTGAAAAAAAATACATTTATTTTAATTATTACTTCTGTTTTTTACCGATGGCTCTGGTATTAAACAATCCATTCTTCAAAGACTGAATATTTAATTTGTTCAAACAGGAGACACTATGCTATATACATAAAACTAAGTGCATGATCCCTTTGACACTTCACAAATACCTCTGCATTTTTCAGAATATACTACAGAGAAAAAGAACAATGAAAACAAAGCTAATGATGGGTCTCCAGCAAAACACTGAAGGCAATTCTCAAAATGAAAGAACATTTTCATTACACCCTAGTTATAGTTTAGAAATTCCACCTAGAGATGCTCACCCAGCAGCATTCCCTTAAGTAAAATCACCAGAACAGACACATTTTCAGAGTGGAAAGCACTGAGAAAGTGTAACATTTGTACAAGTATGCCGTTTTGTAAAAACAGCTCAAGACAGTCAGGCATAGCTTCAAAACAGCTCATAATCTTTTTATTATTATTATTATTATTCATCTTAAAAATATGGATTTGTATTTGTAAAGATTATACAGCGTTCCAATCCTCAGGTATTTCAAAACAATCACTGAACAGAAAGAAAGAAAGAAGGAAAAAAATATATAAAAAAATGAAAGAATGAAAATGAGAATGATTTTTGGCTTAAAATCACATTTAATTTTTTATTTTTTTTTATGCTTTCAAAGCTTAAAAAAAATGACACAATGTAAAGCGGTAAAATGATGTAAAAAATGTAATGTGGGTGGGGAATAGGAAAAGGAAAAAGTGTGCTACTAGGCTTCAAAAAGTCAGTTTTATTATTATTTCTTCTTAACAGAATATATGTAGCAAAACAAATGTAAGAGTTCATAAACTTACCTGATGTCCAGTTTAGTACTGAAATATCACATATATTAATTGCCTGTTCAAAGTTACACATGTTTCTAAAATTTGTCCATCAACTTTGGAAGTCCTCTTCTCATGTATGGTTTTAGTGGCTTTTTGGTCTGAATCAATCTAGTAGATAAGTAACTGCAAATGAGGTAAACATATGATCTGTTTGAGCTGTTCCTACGTGTCAAATTTACTGAATCTTTATACCATTACAGGCTGAGAGATGAGTGGTTGGAAAGCTGCCTGGTGGAGAAGGACCTGGGAGTATTGACTGAGAGTTGGCTGAATATGAGTCAGCAGTGTGCTCAGGTGGCCAAGAAGGCCAACAGCATCCTGGCTTGCATAAGAAGCAGTGTGGCCAGCAGGTCTAAGGAAGTGATTGTCCCCCTGTACTCAGCTCTGGTGAGGCCGCACCTCGAGTACTGTGTTCAGTTTTGGGCCCCTTGCTACAAGAAGGACATCGAGGTGCTTGAGCAGGTCCAGAGAAGGGCGACCAACCTGGTGATGGGTCTGGAGAACAACTCTTACAAGGAGCAGCTGAGGGAGCTAGGGTTGTTCAGCCTGGAGAAAAGGAGGCTCAGGGGAGACCTTATCGCTCTCTACAGGTACATTAAAGGAGACTGTAGCAAGGTGGGGTTGGTCTATTCTCCCATGTGCCTGGTGACAGGATGAGGGGGAATGGGCTAAAGTTGCGCCAGGGGAGTTTCAGGTTGGATATTAGGAAGAACTTCTTTACTGAGAGGTTTGTTAGGCATTGGAATGGGCTGCCCAGGGAAGTGGTTGAGTCACCATCCCTGGAGGTCTTTTAAATATGTTTAGATGTTGAACTTAGTGATATGGTTTAGTGGAGGACTTGTTAGTGTTAGATCAGAGGTTGGACTTGATGATATTGAGGTCTCTTCCAACCTAGAAATTCTGTGATTCTGTGATTTGTTGACCTTCTCAATATGCCCCTTTTTCTATGTGCCATCAATTCTAGCCTTACTTGGAAAAGATTGTTATGCCTTGGTAATGATTTTCAGTGGGAACATCTAAATAAAGCGAATGCCACTGAACATTCAGTTGCTTGCAGTGTGCTTTTTTTTTTTTTTTAAATGAATTTATGACATTTTTAATTAAAAATAAAAAAAAAAAAATGAAAATCAACCTTCCAGTTTGCTGGAAAATAAAAATAATTAACATTTGGAGCTATACTGAAAACAGAAATGGAAAACTGATTTGGAGAAAAATATGATACTTGAAATAGGAAAAATTTCCAGAAGTCTGTCCAAAGAGAAAACATCAAAGTCATTGAAAAAGGACAAAATAGGAAATGTAACATCTTCCACTGAAACAATATTCCATTGAAGTAATGTTTCACAATATTAATTCCACTGTTTCTTTCATTTTCAGTCATACAAGGGAACTACAATAAATAATTACTCACTCTGTCCAAAAATTGTAGGTAACAGGCTAAAAGTAAGAGTATGTTTCTCTGTTTTTCAGTACTTCATTCAATGTTCTTTCATACACTAGGACCTTCAATATTCTCAGAATCCTCTGCTGTTTGTGCATACCACACACTAAAGAGCAACAGAAAAAAATGCTGGTAAAATCCAGGCACATGTTTGCAATACCATGAACTAGTGAATTTTTGCAAATATTATTAACATTGGGTATAATACATAAAAATCTTTCTCCTTCTTTGCTTTGACTGTACTACGTTTTAAATTCACCTGTCACTATACATGTACATGCTACATACAACCTTTAAACAAAACACACACATTTCAAACTTACTTCATTTTTTTCCATTCCTGTCTATGTCTTCGTCACACAAAATGGCTAATAACCCACATATGAAGCTTAGTTCCATTTTGCCACTCCTTTATATCTTTATATATCTTTGGATTTGCCAGTCGTGTATATCTGTATATTAGTCTTCTGTGAGGTTAACAAAAAAAAAAAAAAAAAAAAAAAAAAGGAAAAGAAAAGGAAAGTCTTTCTCCATAATCATACACTCTCCTTTTCTGTCTTCTCTGTAGGAATGTTCAAACAGTTAAGAGGGCACATGCTGTTCACAGGACCAGAACAGAAACATTTGTACTGCCAAAGAAGGTATTTTGTATAAAACTGCATGGATCCACAGTGACACCCAGCGGCCACTGTCCTTGCCATAGTGATGCGTTTACTAAAGTAACATTTCCATGTCCTTTTGTTTAGTATGCATTTTGTATGAAAGCAGTAACTCTTAAGAAAGTCTGGTTTAATAGGATTAAGCCAAACATTGTTTGTTTGTTTGTTTAAATTTACTTTATATAAGTATTTTAATATTATGAGTTGTGTGCAGTGTGTGATGTTGGCAAATACTGCTTTTATATAGGTTGAAGACATGGTTTCATTAGCCAATGCTAAAAGTGATGTACACAGCCAATATGAATGGAAAATGAAGACAATTAAAAGTCAGAATGGCATCTTGGAGTTATACTGTGAAAACCTTTAAGAAGAGCTTATGTGTAACACAATTAATATTATGTGAACTTTAATTAATATAATAGTAACGTTCCATTAGCTAAAAATGTGTACACACATTACTTCTAGTAAATTATCAATATGGTTGCACTTCTTCTTCAGCCTTGGTCTTAAGCCAGTGATTCAACACAAATGGATGGCAAAATCTTCAAGGCACAGGCTTGTCTCTAAGTTTGTGAACTAAATTACTGAAATAAAATGAAAAGAAAAATGAACTATTATTTATATTTAATACTTTTTTTTTTTTCCCTCCAAAGTACCAGGCTAAGTTGTGTTCCCAGATGGCATCTGACAGAAGGAATAATATCTAAATTACTCTACCAGAAGTTCTCAGACTAATCCTAGGACTGTTTCCTGTCTGATGATGTGGGTAACAGGAATTTCACTTGCTGTATGAAAACACAATCTTCAAAGAAATAAATAGACTAAGTTAATATTTTCTTCACCACAGAACTAGTAATATATAGATATATATGCATATGTATAAACATGACTTACTCTCCTTTGATCATTTGTTATCCAAAGAATGTAACACTACCCTGCCCAGATTGATGAAAAACATTTATTCAATCACTGCCATCAAATACAATTAGTTAGGTAAGCATTGATGTAAAGCATAAAAATCAACTGAAAGATCAGTTCTGAAATCCAGGTCTAAAATTTTAAACTGAATGTGAAAAGACATTTAAATCCAGTATTGGACTGATCAAAACTGCAGAGCTGGTGGCCTAATCCACAGATAAATTAGATTTTCTGAAAAATACAGATGCATTTCAAAACTTATATATATATATATATACGTTTTCTTTAGTTTTAGCTTTGCTAACAAGCTGATGCTAAGGAGAGTTTTCCAATAGTTTTTCTAACATTCTCCTACCAATGTTCTTTTCCAGTGGGATTTTCAAATTCAGTTACAGTCTTAGTCTTTTTAGATCAGGGAGTAGCATCCCTGACTATATGAAGCCTTATATACTTTAAAAGGACAGTTCTGAAATGTGAAAAAAAAAAAAAAAAAACAAAAACAAAAACAAAAAAAAAAAAACAGAAAAACAAAAAACAACAACAACAAACTGCTGTCTGCCGTTTATTCTCCAGGTCCATTTTGTAGGACTTTTTCTGAAGTAGATTCTAACATTCCTAAAAGGTGGTGTGTATTTTGTATTTCTGCTTTTCAAAAGTGATAACATCAGTACAGAAAGACAGGCTAAGAAAATACCCACATTCTTCCAATCAAAAAATAACTTGCAAGAGCTCAGAATTTATTACTGCTTGATAGATGGTAAGAACAGAATTCTATAGCACAAGATTATAATTCTACATGGTCTCTTAAAAAAACAAACAAACGAAAACTAACAGCCAATAAGTCTCTTTTAAATAATATACATTCCAATTCCGATGTACTTTCTACTGAAAGGCTGGTTGTATTCACAATAAATAAAATAAAATAAAATAAAAAATAAAATTCTACCTGCCAAGGATGGCCTGCTTCCCTCTGGGAAGCATTTCTGCTGGACCAACACTCTGCTTTATCAGCTCCTTTGTAACTTAGTGAAACAGCATCTACAAATTCTTGAAGCTTCTTTTGAAGCTTATATTGTAGTTTTCCATGGCTGAGAAATGTGATCACTTCTTCCAAAAGAATATTCGACAGCTAGAGTCTGTCATTCCAAGAATGTTGTTGTGCCAGTTATTACTGGAAAATAAAAATCTAACGCCTAGCTGGTACTTGATATAAATAAAGCCCACTGCAGATTTCTTCTCCAGACTTGAAAAGTGTACTTTTCAGTTCATAACCCTCTGAACCAGAAAAATCACAATTTATGCAAATACATATGGCAAACAATGAATGTGGTTCATCATTACTCTTCCTCTTAAGAGGAAACAAAAGAAAAAAGGTGTAAAAGTGATAATATAATAAAAATAAATAAACAAACACACACACACACAAAAATATCCCACCCCACACAACAGGAATTATTAGGATGAGCGGACCTTAAATCTTGCTTGCCATTTGTAAGTGAAAACATAACAATGTAGGTTATTTCAGGAGTGGTCTAGATTTTTTTTTTTTTTGCATAAATTTAGTAATAAAATGCTTATAAAGAAATAAATAAAATGCAAAAGCAGGGTTCGATCCTCAAAATAAAGAGCTGACCGTTAAGGTACAATGTTTTAGCTAAAATAATATTACTAAGATTAAAATAAATTTTAATGGAAATTAGGAAAAAAGAAAGGAACAGGGGACATCCTTTTCTTGTATTTTGCAGAGAGCTTGCTTTATAGTAAAAACATGAATATTTTCATCTACAGTTTTATTTATGCCAGACCCATTACCATATAAGGTACTAGAAAAAGATCATTTACACAGGTTCTTCCTATGCTTCAGACAAGTATCTGACTAACTGAAAAACTTATTGCAATTAATACTTTTCCTAGAGGCTGTATATGAGGAATGTACCACATGATTTGCTAGACTAAGGAAACTGCAAGTCACAATCTCATTTTACAACAAATACCATTATAAGCAATCCCTAGGGAGACACTCCAATATACTCAGATACTGTGTTTTTGTTGTTACCCATTTGACAAGAGTTTTTACCCACTGTAAAAGGCATTTTACTACTGCAATTTATATCATCATTTAACTATGCTATTCTGATAGAACAGAGTAAATTATATAGCAGAATTTGTCTCTGAGTGACGTGTATTAAATAAAAACATGAAGTTTTTAATTGAAAAAGTATTGCTTTTTTCAGCAATACCCTTAATACAACTTACTTGTACTTGTATTTTGATTACAAATACAATCTACAGTGGTCTTAGTTGCTGGATAAAAATATACAAATAACCAAAATCTGCATTGAAATATTCCAATAAAATCTTCACTTTATAGCTACTTACTCACACCAGTGGGAAGAAAACATTTTGTTGTTGTTGTTCAGGACAAATTTCTTTCCAAGACACTACAGATATTTAGTTTGAGGAGGGAGGATCCATGAGCTGGGGAAAGGAAACGTATGCTCTCATAAGCCTGCACTGGTGTATCCTCTGTGATCCTGTATAGGGAAAAAATTACAAAATGCTATTGTAATTAACATATCTTCAAAAAAGAAAAAACTAAGAACTTCTAAATTCTGTTCCTGGATCTTTTCTCATTTTACACTGCTGTGTGGATGTCATCTCAGTGTCACCTTCCGTCACCTACAGCCCTGGTACTTGGACTTCACTATGAAATAAAGTGTTGTATCCTGAAGAGTGTTGTATCCTTCTGTAACCCAGAACCCAGCTCCAGAAAGGTGGCTACTGAGAGTATTTCACTTCTTGAATAAAAAGTTCATTACAGCAAGTACTTCTTCTCCTGGTCTCTTGCAGAGGCATACTCACTCTTTCTCCAGCCGTCCAGCCATGTTCACAGAATCACAGAATCATCTAGGTTGTAAGAGACCTCCAAGATCACCAAGTCCAACCTCTGACCTAACACTAACAAGTCCTCCACTAAACCGTATCACTAAGTTCAACATCTAAACATCTTTTAAAAACCTCCAGGGATGGTGACTGAACCACTTCCCTGGACAGCCCATTCCAATGCCTAACAACAATGCCTATATGTTAATCCATATCCTACAGGTAAATATATACAAAACATGTATTTTTATAGCTGGAAATCATAATTTTAATATTATGACACAGATTTTTAAGGAAGCATTCAATAATTGGATGATACTGTAATTGTCACTAAATAGACATTAAAAAAGTAAATGCAAGAATAACAAATCGCTTTCCAACTATAATAATCCTCATGCTGCAGTGACAAGATACATAAACTTGGGAGGCTAAGTGACCAACTGCCAAATGTTGTGAAGAATCCCAGGATCTCACTATTGCATACTTCTAGCTACATCCCAGAAAAGCAGTAGACTGATATTCCTAGGTTTTCATTACATTTCAGAATAAATTGGAAGAGGGAAATATTTCAGAATAAACTCAAAGATGGAAATATTATATTTGTTATGGAACAATAACCTATTCAAGCATTCTATCATTTTGTTTTTATGTAGGGCCAAGTTTCCATGATGGCTTCAGCTCTGAATTTTTTATTTATATTTTTAATTTAGTTTTCTGTAGGCTGCTTTGCATTGTCACATTGTGATTCAGCTGAGCTCAAGCTCATAGCGTTGAATAAGCCTCCCAAGAAAGCTTACGAATTTTTATGTCTTAGCTCCAGTTGAAAAGGTTGCTGCATTAAAACCATTGATGTGTGCGAACTAAACCTTCCTTCAGTGTTGGTGTTGGAATAAAGTATTCAGGACCATATAAGCTAGCCTAAAAACCTCTGGAACCTGCTTTAGAATTAAAAAGTATTGTAAGTATAATACCATAAGGGCAAAGATGGCAAAGATGAGTTTTACTATTACTGTGTATATATATATATATATATATAAAATTCATAAAAATACCTTAAAAAAAGAAAAAAGCCATATATACATACATACTAATGTTAGCCAGGTAAGTGCCCAGAAAATCCAAAAATCAGAGCAGAGTGGATTTGGGTACATAACTTAGTCTTTTTATCTAGTGAAATCAAAGGAATCATCTTGTTTCCACTGACAAGGATGAAATCTGGCCTGGACTGCCCTCAAAAGCAAAACAGCTGCTGATTTCAACAGAGACAGAATTGAATTTAACCCTTTTTATTCCAAGTTTCAAGGAGTTTTTCCTCTACATATTTACACAAAACATAAATGAGAGTTGTAGTTTAGACTTTCAAAGAAAGCCATAGCTGATGTAGAACACCCTTGAAGCCACAGAAAATTTGAAAAGTCAAAATGGAGATGTCTGAGTGAGATCAATATTCTTACCAACAACAGCTTTTGTTAGACTGTGTTACCTACAAGGTTGAAAAGCACTGACTTAAGGAAGTTCAATGTGTTGCTGGGAGCACAATTTTTTTCCACATAAATGTGTGGTTTAGTCAGCCCAGATTCCTATTTAAATATTCAGTTATATTACGTTTGTTCAATCTAGTGCTATAATTTGTAGCAGTTGAAATAACACCACACTTAAGAAAAAAAAAAAAAGAGAGAGAGAAAGAGAGAGAGATGGAAAGATGATAGAATGATTTGCATGATTACTTTGCTTGCTATAAACATTAAGCTTCTGCCCTCTGGAACCAGAAGGGTGGTGTTAGATTCTTTTTCTTTCAGGCATGATTGAATTTGAAATGTAAATTGAATTCAAATCTCAATTCTCAGGTAGTCTGAACCCTGTTCCTCACTGATCCCTGAGGGATAGAGGGAAGAAGCACACATTTCAAATGTGTGTTTCCCAGTTCCCATCTGAGATTCATCAGGTTCATCCATCTCCTACCACATACAGATCTTTACCTTTATTTTAGTGTCTGTCAAGACAGTCATGACTGTAAGGATCAGTTTTAAGGATCAGCCAGAAAGGCCAGGCTGGCCGTGGATGTTCCAGCTTAATCTCTTTCCTTGAGGCAGGCTAGGGGTAAATTTTGGGAGAGACAGCTAGCTTTCCCTTTTCAAGCATTTCCTCTAAAAGGTTTCAGATTGCTGTGGCTTCTGATGTTGCAGCCTTTTAGTAGTACAACAGCCACTGAAAGGAATGGAAAATTGTGAACTTAGTGTTTTTCCACAATGGTGCAAACAGATGAGCCCACTGTAGTGCTATTATTTTTAGATAAAATGAAAACTCTGACTTAACCAGGCATATGCACCTTTAATATACTTTATTTATTTATTTATTATTTTCTATTTTCCAATATACTGTGACTTAAATATTAATCTGGGGGAAAAGGTAATATGCACCATAAAATGGAGATAAAAAGTCAAGAAAAAAAAAAATAAAAATCTATCATCAACTGTGACGGAGTAAAACTAAAGTTTGTGCCAGAGAGTTTAATAGCAGTGCAGTGGTCACAGAAGCCTGGTGTTTAAAAATTAATTTCTAGTTTGAAGCTGTTACTGGCAGTGCTAAGAGCATACAAAGTACATTTGTTCATCACCAGAGCTAGTTTCAGAGTAGAAAATTCAGGAGGAAGACAATGAGGTCTGTCCAGTTTCTAAAATAGACCTGGGAAATATTTAAAATCTCCAGGCTGTGAAAAATAATTTTCCACGAAAGAAGAGCTAAAGGGCAAATTAGAGAAATATCTCATCTCCACATTTTAAAAGGCTATAAACTTGTCTACTTCACAAAGAATGGTGTCCTGTTAATTTGATAAAAAGCTGATCAGATGTGATTTAAGTTTCTCTAAAATAGATATTTAGGAAACAACTTCTGCTATCTCTGTTCTTACTTGAAAGGAAAAAGATGTTTATCAGACCATTGACTTAAAACAGAAGAAAATATTACACCATTTCTCATACTGCAAATGGAAAGAGAAAAAGATTTGCAAATTCAGTCACTGAGCTGTAAATATATTCCCGCAGCTACTCACAAGCATAGCAGAAAGACTTTATTGTACTCATCAAAGATGTCACCATGTGCACCGATCTCAAACCGTTTACATTTTCATCTGTGAACTGAAAATTCCTGAACAAGTCTGAGCACCCCTGACCAGCAGTCCTAATATTTTAAGTGGTGCTGAGAATGTGTTTTATCTAGCCAAGCACTATTTCCTCTTCAACTTCCAGCACTTCAGTGAATGGAAGTGATGATCTAAAGAAAGAAGAGTGCATACTGCAGGAGTATAGAAAGCAAGCAGGCACCAAAATGTGAAAGCCAAGCCTGTTCTAAAGACAATTTTAACAGTTAATAGCAATGTTAGAAGTGGATAAAAACAATTTTGTCTTTTGGAGCAATTGAGGTAATTATTCATAGAAAGCAAGTGTGATTTTTCTTTGTTTGTTTGTGAGTTTGGTTCAGAAAACAAAGATTTATTTAAGTGAAAATGCTTATTATTTAAACCAACTTGATAAATAGCATCCCTCCCCTCTCCCCCCCCCCAAAAAAAATAATAAATAAATCAAACAAAAGAAGCATTTTATAAATTAAATTATATGCCACCCTCTATTCAGGGCATGTCAGTGGTCATCTAATAGTTAGAATTTGTTTCTGTTCCCCGACTGGCTGTTTGAAATGCTGTAAAATGGGAAAATACAAGGACTGAATAATCTTTTTAATTGCAGAAATACTTACTTACATGCAAATACACGTCTCCATATGTAGAACAATTATTCTCCATACATCCTTGGAAACAATAATACATGCACATGAATATTTGTAACTAGCAAGTAAAAAGGGGGCAGGAATATGATCATAGAAGACAGATATTCAAAATTTAAATTAATGTTTTCCAACATCTAGACAAAAAAAAAAAAAAAAAAAAAAAAAAAAAAAAAAGATCTGATTTTTCACTGTATGTACTTCACTTAGTAATTGATACTTGTGTGAAGCATGAACAAAGTAGGAGCTACATGCCAGCAGACCAGTCTTAGCCAGGCTCTTTTTAGTTGCTTTTCTTGCACATGCAGTTTTCAAAGTAAAAGCTGGGAGAGAGTCATGCCCCAAATGATTGGCTGCAGGGAGTAATGTTTCACATGACTCTACACCATAGTTAGAAATGCCAGTTAAGTGCTTAATCTTGAAGCAGCAGCAAAAGATCAATTAAATTGATAATGGTATTGATAGTGGGCTTTCAACCTAGCAACTAGAAGTGTAACAAGACCCAATGGCTGGCAGCTGAAGTCAGACAAATTCAGCCTTTCAATCAGGTACAGAGTTTTAACTGCAAGCGGAAGTAATTAGAACTGGTTACATTGGTTTCTGTTGGCAATCTAAAAATCAAGGCTGTCTATTTCCTAAAATGTATGCTTTATTGCAGGTGGAAAGTTGAGGATGACCTATGGCCTGTGCTGTGAAAAGCAGGAACTAAATGATCACAGTGTAAATGTATCTGATCACTTATTCAGAAACTCCATCAAATTAACTACCGCTGTTTCTGCCATCCACTAACTACCATGGTTATTGGGGTCATAATGCTGCTGGAGTTGGGACAGGACAGGTCTTGAGAGAAATTAAGACTTAAAAGGACATGAGATTTTTCTGAAAATGTTAAATGAAAAGGGGAAGCAGGAGTAAGGAGACAAGACTAGGGTCACATTGGTGATTCTACAGGTTGAAAAGTAAGTTTCTGAGATTCAAGTTCAGAATAGTTATTCTGGATTTACCTTATTGTGCTATTCATTTACATTATTTGAATGGGGGGGGGGGGGGGGGGGAAGGTAAACACAATATCTGAAGAACAGAAAAACAAACAGAAAAAAAAAAAAAAAAAAACACCCTTAGCCCAAGGCTAGATTTCCCCTTCTGTGCCTGACTTTTAGATGAGCACCCTAGAAAAATATAAAATCTGTTCCTGATGGATCTTGTGTTATGTATGCCACAAATAAATAGAACAAGCATATTTCCCATTCATTGGTTTGAAAATAGCACTTTGTCTCCATTTTAGCAGAATGACTTTAACAGAAAGGACAAAGAAGACAAAGAGAAGTGCCAATTTTATTCTACACTGACTGCATCAAGGTTTAGTACACATGCTGAGGAGAGTGCAGATACTTATTAAAGATGCTGACATTGGCATAAAAAAGTAATTACAGTATTGTGCCTCCCTTTGTAACAAACAACTCTACTTCCCTATCTTAGAGGTGACTCAAAGTCTTAAATTAGAATTCTCAGGGTTTCCCACATAGGCAAACACTGCAGGATTTGAACCAGTGGATATGTTTCCTGCTCATTTGGTTACTGCTAACTATAATTATAGTATTTATGAATTTAAACCTTAATGACAACAAACACAGTAGCTCCATTGCTCTTGTACTAGAGATGTCACTTTCAGTTTTTCCATAAACATTATGTTAAAATTGGGTGAATATTCAGAGGCTTTTAGAGGGAAGGATTTTTTTTTTCTTTGTAACTCAGATATAGGGGTGATTGGGGAAACTTCCAGACAAGACATGGAAGCACTGATGCAAAGCCTTAAATATATATTTTTATGTCTAAGGCGTTCCTGATAAATAAATAAATAGAATGGAATTCTTTGCAGCTGTTTTTCCCACCTTGAGATCTGGATGGACTTTCCAGAAAGTACAAACTGGTGACTGACTTCCATCTCTGGTAAAAGTGAAGAATCCGTAATAAATCTCCATAATTAATCCATAAATAATATAAATAATAAAACTGTAATATCCTCAGAGGGTGGCGAGGTACTGGAACAGGTTGCCCAGAGAGGTTTTGGATGCCCAATCCCTGGAGGTGTTCAAGACCAGGTTAGATGAGGCCCTGAGCAACCAGGGTGGTATCCTGTTTATGACAGGGCGGTTGGAACTGGGTGATCTTTGAGGTCCCTTACAACCCAGACCTATGATTCTATGATAAAAAAAAAAAAAAAAAAAAAAAAAAAAAAAAAAGATCTAGAATCAGTATGTTTTTTGTGAAGGAAAAAATTGTCTTACTAAACTCCCAGAGTTTTATGAGCATGTAATTAAGTGCATGGATGGAAATGATGCAGTGGATATGAAGTATTTGAATTTTCAGACATATTTCAGAAAATTCCACACTAGAAGCTTTGACAGGGCCAAAGATGCCATCTACAGTCATAATCTCTGAAAGTAAGAAAGGTAATTTTATGAGTTGAAAGCTGAGTAAAGGATAGGAAACAAAGGGTTAAGGCTTAATAGATTCTCACTGTGATATAGAAGAGCTAGCAGTAACATGATGACTGCAGGTAATGGTTTTGTTTTCTAAAGTAGTATCTCTTTTTTTTTTTGACACTGGAAGAGGTAAATTAGATAGGCCATCGGTCTCATCTAGTAGGCTGGTGACCTGCACAGATGTATTCTTATAGCTTATTATGTTTTTTCCAGTACTTGGATTGTACTGATAGTTTGAAGAACAAAAAAAAAGTAACTAACGTAAAATGTAAAAATAAATAAAGAAATGTAAAAAATAAAGGACAGATCTTAGCCACTAAGCAATCCTTTGTCAAAGTGTGGGAATGTGAAAGTTATGGAGTTACATGGAAGAACTTCTTTACTGAAAGGGTTGTTAGGCACTGGAACAGGCTGCCCAGGGAGGTGGTGGAGTCACCATCCCTGGAAGTCTTCAAAAGACGCTTAGATGTAGAGCTTAGGGATATGGTTTAGTGGTGACTGTTTGTGTTAGGTTAGAGGTTGGACTCGATGATCTTGAGGTCTCTTCCAACCTAGAAATTCTGTGATTCTGTGATTCTGTGATATGGTCTGGTAGAGAGCATCCCATGCTTGAGATATCTCAACTTACCTTACTGTCTGATCATACTATGACACTGTTCATATCATCTCTTATTTTTGCTTTTGCTTTGCTCTAACCATTTTGTCTGCGAGGAGAATACTTATTTTCTGTTTGATTTATTTATTTATTTATTTATTTTAAGCATTATCTCTTATCCACCAGTAACAGTTCAGTAAGGCTTATTACATGTTGGCAATTTGAAACACGAAGCTGTGAAGATAAGGTGCAGCTGTAGTGAAAAGGGCCATTTTCTAGTAGCAGAACAGCAATACATTCAAAGAGTGAAAGGTGAAATATAGCCCATTCTCCCTCTCCCCCACACTTTCCTTTCTAGCTTTTGCTTCTGTGAACATTATCTGCTGTCTATGAATGTATTCCTTCTTTCCTTTTTCATATTTCATACTGCTGTGTGTCCTGTTCAACAAAGTCCTTAAGCGTATGTATGAACCTAACCAGAACTAACCTTAACAATTTGATGTGGCACTATCTGAGGTAGTCCTCACAGAGGCATCTTCAGTATTGGGAGGTGCAGGTTCAGTATATTTTGGCTAGCTTTATACCTTACTGAAAGCATCACTTGACAAGATAAATTTCCAATTTGTCTGAGATTATTACTCCAAGGACAGTACAAGTTCACATGTTTAATGGTATTCATAAAATATTTCAGGTCTCTTTATCTTGTAAGCTTCCCTTATCTCATGCTGCAGGGTTATTTAACTAGGTTTTTGGAGGAGGGGAAGGTTGTTTAGTTTTTATTTATTTATTATTGCCTAATAAGTACATAACACTCTTATCATGAAATGGAATTTTAAAAAGTTCTGCAAATGTTTGTATGTCTCCTTTTGGAGAATTTCTTTGCCACTACTTTTCTCAATTCCTTGCTCCATGTTGGCCCTGGCACCATGGGCAGCTGTGGTCAGCCACCTACCAGGAGAGGGGATGGAGTGCAGTCCTTACAGCTGTGCAACAAGATTCCCCTCCCTGCAGGTGCTAGAGGAACTTTTGCTACCAAGATCAGTGAATCCAGGACTGCAGCTGCAGACTGCAGCCTACAATGGACATGAAGTGTCTTCACACTGTGAAGGATGTCTGTCTGCTCAGTGATGTTATTATTCTTACATGAAATGTATCCAGGAGCTGGTTAATACTTTGATGAGTTTTAGCAGGAATATCTCAGCTGAAATATTTTCAAGTTGGAATGTGCCTTTTCAGTTTAAAATAAAATCTAATTTCCTGGAGATATGAAATCATTATTCTATAGCACAAGATAGGAATATCTTCTATTCCTAAATCTCCCATAAATAAAAATAAAATAAAAATATTTTTAAAGTTGTAAATAGTACATAAAAATAAATAGAAAACAATATTATTTTAGAATGCTTCAGATATATGAATCTTATATACAGCAAAGTTAGAAAGCACAAAAAAAGAATATGATTAATAAATATAATTTTTCTGCAATTTCTTAGTAGTTCTATAATTCCTCATTTTTATTTTGTACTTTGATACGCTACTTTGCTTTGTCATGACTATCAATGTATCAAAACTTTCTCATCCAACTTTTGCTAAAGTATTTTAATTAAAATTGGAGTATTTACAGTTGTTATATGATATTAATATTCCAGTAGGCATAAAATTTTCACTAAATAATATTGAATAATTAAGAAGGAATACATTATTGATCAGATAGGAAAAGTTTCCTACAATATAAAATGCTATTGTGCTTTGTTTGTGTTTTTAATATCTGTTTTTGAGATCTCAAGTTGATATTGGTAAATGACTTCATAGCATACAGACTAAGCAAATTTTAGATGAACATCACCTACTGTTGTAAAGGACATTATCTGGAGGGACAAATATGAAGGTGAATGTCATAGTCTTGTTTCTTTAATTCCCCGAAATAGGGAATTAAAATACATTTAAAAAGTAGGGGATTAAAATACATGAAGAAAGTAAAAGTCAAATTTTCTATTTACTATAATATTTGCTAAGATTGGTACTTACTGTATCATGTCACAATTCCCTTTGGGGGATTATCCCAAAGGAATAGCTCTGACTGCTGCTTTAACAGAGAGAAAGAGAGAGAGAGAGAGAGAGAGAGAGAGAGAGAGAGACTGAAATACATATTATGATGGAACAGTGATTATGAAAAGGAGATCACAGTCTGAAACAAGAGCACACCGAGACATTTCATCTGAAAATCGTCTGTTGATGTAGAATTTCACAGTTTGAATTTTCTGTGCAGTCTCTTGGTTTCTCTTCATAAATGTTTAAAGGACAGACTTTGAAATTGCTCTTACACAGAAACTTTTCAGTCCTACTTTTCATTTTTGACTAGTTTCTTAAAAAGATATCTTACAGAACATCAAGTACATGTAATATAATGGTGACATGCAGTCCATGTTTTAACTTTGTTTCCTTGGGAAATTAAGTTCCTGTATTATAACTCTTTCTTTCCTTTCCCTCTCCTCTTCATACATTTTTGATCTTGTTGTGCAGGTGTGAGGCTGTTTGACAGAGCAGTCTCAAAAGCTTTATCCCAGCTAGAGGACCTACGTACCTGTGCACAGCCCAGCTGCCTACTGCAGGAAGAGATCCAGATGCATACCAGCCTTTTCCCCCAGGGTGAAGGAAAGATTTTCTCATCTGCCCTGAAAAGGTAAAAAGAATCCAAGTTAGCACCCTGTAGAAGGAGAGGCTGCATAGTGAGTTTAGCATTATTTGTGCCATTTGGATAATCAACAGGTTGGTCAGCACCCACAGGCTCTGGCCTGACATAGCCTGTTCACCCAGCCCAGGTGCCTGAGAAGTGGAATTAAGCAGGAGCTGACTGGTGAATGCAGTGAGTGACTGATGTTTCTGTGAGATGGGCCAAGAAACACCAGCAGGATCCAGAAATGTTGCCAGAGGAAATCCAAGGGGAAGATTAAGTATATTGTGGACAAGGAACAACCTGGCAATATAATGATGGTAAGAAGTTGGGGGTTGCTAGTCTGGGACTGTTTCATGGAAATTCATGGAACTGTTATTGTTGAATCAGTTGTTGAAATTGCTTATTTTTGAATCATTGAATTGTTATTTAGTATTTACTGTTACTTGCTGAAGAGTTCCTCTTTGAACCGTTGTTAATGTTAGCACTCACACCTGATCATTTGAAAAGAAGCTCAGATGTGAATGGCTCTGTAGATGTACTTCTAGAACATAAAATATCAGCTGTGAGAAACTGTGACATTTAGACCTATATAGAAGTAGCCATCTTACTTACAGGAGCAATAAAACCACCTTACTCAAAGACAGTCTGCAGTTAAGCATCATAAAACATAGAAAGATAAATAAAATAATAAAAAACACTGTTATTTATTTATTTGTTTGTTTGTTTTTCTTCCTGAAGCACATTATTTGCTCTATTTCTACAGACTTACTGAAGGACTACAAGAACAGGGAATGGCAATTTCGTTTGGCAATACCTATATTCCTACTAACAGACCCATGTTTTATTACCCAATTACCATATGCCATAGGCCACGCTCTGGAATGTGATCCTCTCCTAAATCATTTTTTGCCAGCAAAATGATCACCAAAAAGTCTTCAGTTACTAATGGAAATCTATTAGGACTGAGTGTGTAGAAAAGACGAGGGTGATAGTTGGGATGTACTGAATCAATTCATCAATTCATCAAACACCGGCACCTAGAGTACAATCACTCAAGCAACACAAAATACTCTCAAAGGGGAAAAAAAAAGAAAGGAGAAAAAAAAAAAAAAAAAAAAAAAAAAAGCCCTTAGCTTATAAAGCTTGAAGAAATAGATGTTTCTATACTTTCCCTTTAATATTTGCAGTGTTCCCCAACACTCTTGTTTTCAAAGCTTATTCTACAGTGAACAACTTGTATTTTATATTTATTCACCTTAAAACTTAGATCTTCAAGTCCCTAACATACAAGCATACCGCTTTTCAAATGCAACCACCTCTAGTGTATTTGCAAACTATCCTAATAAATTCTTCCTAATAACCAGAGTAGGAAGGATTGGAAGATTTTTATTTTTACTTTTTAATTTGCCAGAGAAACAAGAACAAAAATTGAGCTGTATGCTTCTATCTCTATGACCTAATGGCTCACATTACTTTATCCCAGTAGCTTTCATAGATAAAAAGTGGTTTTACCTTCTCTTTTTCCTGTGCCACTTAATATAAAAGTACACGTTAGTCCACTCAAAGTTAAGGCTCTGTAAGAAAAAAACATCATGATTGACAGATACTCACTGTGATTACCACAAAATTGAAGAGCTCAGCTAAAAATATTAATGTTCTGATTTGGTAATTTGCTCCCTCTCTCACTGTCACCTAGTCAAAAAAGGTTCAGTTTTGAAAGATTCATCATGGTGCTGTGTGCTCAGGCAAGTTGCAGATCAGATCAATATTTAAATTATCTGACTATACTCAGTAATGATCTTAGCGAAGCTGCAGAAATGACTATAATAGATGCCTATTTAAAGTGCAATGGCAGATATAAAATGTGTTCACCATGATGACTGTTTTTCACTGTTTAGTGTATCACTCATTATTTCAATTTAATTAAAATTGATAAGACTCATAATGTTGGAAAACTTTTGACTCTATATCTCCCCAACTTTTGTTTGGCACATAAAGTTGCTAATTTTGATTATTATTTTTCTCTACTGGCAATGTATTTTTTTCAGTGTATAAGCCAAAATATCATATATGAACACTAACTTCATTTGGGAATCAGTTGGTAATAATTTTCTCAAATTGTCATTAGTTTTCCTGCAGGTTTTCCTCTAACAGTGCAGTTCCCACTCCTTGAGTAAGCAACTATCTTTTAAAAAGTGGGTGGCACTTTACTGTGTTTAAATATGAGATCTGCAAGCAGCAGGATCAGAGATTTTTCATTCATTTTGGATGTAAAGAGGTATGGACAAATAGAAGATTTTATTTTTATTTTTTAAAAGAACATGCATACACAAATAACACACAAAATTTATTTGTAGTTTTGAGACCTTAATCTTAAAACTTTAGGTGGAAATCCTCACTGCCATGATCTTTAATATGTTTAAGTGACAGGGAACTATATGCATGAAATAGCTTAAGAGCCAAAAATAAATAAATAAATAAATAAAAATTAGTCACTGTAGTATATTACCAGCAGTTCAGGTCTGGGAGCAGAGATTAAAACCATGAGATGTGTAAGGGCAATCTGCAGTGCACAGGGAGAGCCAGGATGCATCTATTCTCATCATTCAGTGAGCACTTCAGCACCACAGGTTACAGATCATGCAGACTATCACCTCTGCAGAGCACATTACTGCTCCTGCTCCTAGGGGGCTTTTTGTGCAAAAGTAGAGAATCGAGAGGCAAAAGCATGCCCAGGTCTCTCTCTGACAAGGAAATGTAATAAAGCGACAAGACTGTGGCTACAGCTGGGCTTAGGAGATGGGGAATGATCCTTGCTATATTCATCATAACCTTGTACACACAAAAATGGATTCTGCAGTGACCTATACAATGAAAAAATGACTTCTTGCTAGCCAAACTGGAAACAACTGGTCATCTGAAATCATAATGTTCCCTGTAGCTTTAGTACCTTATGATAGCAGCACAAAGGTAATTCAGTCCAGGTCAAGAAGTATTTACTACTAACACGTGCATGAATCCACTCAGAAAAGTTAGTAGCAACCATTCTTTTCTTTAACAATCTGGCTGTGAGAGTGTGATACTAATAACTTTATTTACCAGTCATTTTTTTTCCCAGAAAAGTGGAGAATCTGAATAGCTCTTCCTGATGGAGGGAGTTAAACCTTCCACCTAAAAGTAAAAGACCAACAAACACAAGTGCACAGAGGTAAGTATAATTCAATATGGGAATATCCATGTGATAGAATAAGTCTTTGAAAACAACTGTCCTTTTAAAAGGACAGTGGATTTGCTCAGCTTTGAATCGCACAAATACTTATGTTTCTTTTTTCATTGGGAAGAAACAACAGTTTTCATTAAGTAGCTACCAGGGCTACTATGCTTTGGCAGGGCTACTCTGTTTCTTATTCAATGATAGAATTCATTTTAAAATTTTAATATGTTTGCTAAAATTCCATCATGATTTGGCAGATACAGAGAAGATATTTTTCTACTACCTAAACTGCACACAACAAAATGTTTTTTACCTGTACCTCTCAATACATTTTTTGTCTTTTTTCAAAGTCAGTTAACCAGTCATAAAATTCTGTTTTGAAACAGCTACTTTGTTTATAACATGAAACTGGTCTTTTCAGGAATTATATACCTGCATGAGGATTTATATTGCAGGGTTTTAGCATCTAGTATGTGTCCATAGAGGAAAGAAATGACATTTATAAATATATATCATAATTTCTTTTATTTCATTTTTGGTTGTTGCATTACCTCATGGAAACCAATAGACTTTGCTTTTCTTGCATTGAATGAAATGAGTCAAATTTCTCAAAATGGCATCAAGCATATGAAAAATAAATCAAGAATAATGCAAATACTTGGAGAAAGATGGAAATAAATCTTTATGTAGACTATAATAAAAGGCTACACTTGATTTATAATACGAATTAAATCTATAGAAATAACAATCATATCCGTTTTCCTATTCATTTATATTCTTATATTGCTATAGTATCATTAAATAAAATATGCACAACCTGCTCACAAGCACAAAAGTAGGTATAAATATAGCACCAATCAAAATAAATTTGTTCACTTCTATAGAAAGAATTGGTGCCATTTCTTAAATACATCTGGGAATAATATTTCCCACTGTACCAATAATATAATTTTATTTTAGACCTTATAGCTATTTTAAAACTTACAGAAAGTTCAGGCTATATTGTTATAGAAATGGGAATATTCTAGATAGATTGGATTACACAGTGTAAAATTGACTGCAGAGAAAATCCTGAAGATTTTTGCAGCAAGTGAGTCTTGGTGGAGGAGTGTGGGGGAATCATGAAAGTGTTTCTAATAAGGCATTTGCAGGTGCTGAAATATTATTACTAAGCTAGAAACTGCTTTGAGGAGTCAGATGTGAAAAACTCATTTTTGGTATCAGAGGAGTCACCACTGAAACAAGGTAAGAAAGGATTTATATGTGAGCAGGCTTCAGTTTCTGCAGAAATCTTTTGCACATCACAAAAACTGAAAGGCTCCTCATTAGGATTCATTTGTAGATAAATGAACATGCTTTGCATGAAATTGAAATAGGAACTCAGTGAAAAGCTGCTTTTAAAGAGCCTGAAAGTGATTTCACAGACATTACAATGCAGCAAATTTGAAATAATTTATTTAAATCTCTTACTATAGTTCACATTGTTCTCTAATTATGAATTGGAAACACTAGTTTTTAGTGTGTCCTGTGCTGAATCTGTAAGCCATCCAGTATAAAATTATCATAAAATAATAGAATACTAAGTACAGCTCTGGTCCAACAAGAATGGAACAAATTCATCTGGTAAAGGACTTATCATTTCATTTCTCAAGAACCAACTGATACTCAGCCAGACTGGTAGCAAGAAGTTTTAGCATCCAGCTGAGGTTTGACCAGGATAAAAATTAAGTCTTTAAGTATAGACGAAACTAGGAGAGAAAATAGGAAAAACCCGCATTGGTGAGGAAGCATGGAATGGAATATGGAAGCGTTCTCACCTAGCTGTGACATACTAGACTATTAACCAACAACCTGAAATTTTAAACATATTTTTTACATTAAGTATTTAAGTAACCCCAAAGAAAACAAAGAGAAAACAAAGAAATACACAAGAATAAATTTGACTGAAAATATCTCTAAACTACTACTATGCTTATCTGTACTGTACACAGACATCAAAGGCAACTTGTGTTTCAGCATTTCAGAACTTAGTTAGAAACGCACTCTTTCCTTCCTAGAGAGGACATTCTTCTACATAGTGGCACTTCAGTCTATATCATGGATGCTGGCCTTTGTGAAATCTGGGGTACTGGACATCACTACCAAGGTGTTGGCAGTGGGGTGGCTGCAAGAGGATGGGGCTGCCTGGTGTCAGACACAGTTGGATCCAGCTGGCTGCAATGGGCTGGGCTGAGCCCCCCCAGGAGCAGGCCCCGGGCCGGAGCTGCAGCCCATGGAGAGGAGCCCACGCAGGAGCAGGGGGTCTGTGGGGAGCTGCCACCCGTGGGGGACCCCGTTTGCTCCTGATATTATGGACCCATATCTGGAGCAGTTCTTGAAGAGCTGCTGCCTGTGGAATGCCCACACAGGATCAGTTCAGGAAGGATGGCATCCTATAGGAGGAACCCGCTTTGGA